CTACACGAAGAAGGCACCTTGTCAATAGGAAATTCACTCATCACGGGAATCTCCCCGAATTCGACTACCCATCGTGCAGTTACCCTCGCCGAGTCAGTCGGCCCCGACGGCAGCTGCGCAGGCACCACCTACTCCGACCCATACGGAACCTGGAACAACGTATTCGTGCAAGCCACCTTGAAAATCAAACTAAGAACCCAGGTGGCACGAGTCAAGATCAACACTGGTAAGGTTGTTCTTCCTTCCGGTACAATATGCGACCTCGCCAGGACATCGTGTATCGACTACGATGCCGGCTACACATTTAGGAACCCATTACCGTTTGACACATGCGAACTAAGTTCATACGACGTTCTCTACGAAGAGTTAGCTGACAAGACAGAAGAAGAATCCGCAACACATTATCCTGTCATCTATAGTCTTACTACTAGCGAAACCGCTTTCGCTTTAGCAAAAACCGGCGAGCATCACGTGTGTGGATACTCCATTATCGCTACGGAGCACCCCAGATTGTTTCTTTGTTGAAACCCTCCAAGGCAACCCTATCATCAAATGAAAACAGATACCAGCCGACAACTTAGACATATTCACGTGTGTCAATTCTAAATTTATATACGTTGAAAAGCACATCAGGAGCCAATTGACGTCGCTGTATCGCACCATCGTGATGCAGAAGTGTGAAGCGGAGAACCAAATCTTGAGAAACCCTCTCTCATTGGTCACGATGGTCCCGGAGGAATTCGCTTTTATAGTCACGAAGAAGCCAGGTTACATAGCCGTCAACACCGGAGAAGTGATTCACATTATTCAATGCATACCTGCAGTTATCAAGATACGCAAAACCGAAGACTGTTTTAATGAGCTCCCCGTGCTACATAATAATGAGACGTATTTCCTAACTCCCAAAACAAGGATCTTAACTAGATTCGGCACAAAGCGTCAGTGTAACTCGCTCCTACCCACTGTTTACAAAGTCGACGAACAATGGATTAAACTTACCCCATCAGTAATGACCGCTGACGAACCCCAAAAGACAAGGCCCATTTTACAGTTGAACTGGAGATATCTAACGCCTACTTCATTGGCTACCAGCGGCATATACTCACAAACGGAACTGCAACGACTAAGGGATCATATAATGTTCCCAGCAGAAAAACCCGCAGTAATCAACGAGATTGTGCGCGGAGTCACATCCTCTGGCATGCCATCCAGCTCGATTTCATTTGCCATCTTCCTGGACGAACACTCCTTGGAGAAGATAACCAAATCCACGATCAACAAGATGTGGAACGGGTTCATCGAGTTTGGATCTGCAAGCGCAGCTATTCTCGCCATCTTCCTCATTTTCAAACTCATCAAAGGAGCAATTGACATCATAGTCAACGGATATACCCTGCATTCGGTGTACGGATGTGGACTTCACGTACTAGGCGCAGTATTCTCGTCTATCACGCACCTACGTGTGCATCTAAAACGGGGACCATCAGCAGTATGAGCCAACGAAGAACCCAGGTTCTTCGGAACCTCCAGAACCCGGAAGAACCGCAACCCGATCCTGAGGTCGCCGGATCTTTATCGCCATCAATTAAACTCCAAAGACTAAGAAACTATTGTACGGAGTAAGTTATAGTGCAGATCGAACACTTTTACATACAAGCGTACCTGTAAAAAATAAACTTTGGACTCTGGCCCAAAATTTATTTTCCCGGAGAGGGACGTGTTACATCCTCGAGTAACCCCCCCCCCCAAGTATCATTAAAATGATACCACACACGATATAATTTGAATGGGTCGAGGTTTGTTATGGGGCGCTGTGAAAAATCCAGGCGAGCGGCAGTCAAATCTTAGCGAAAAGGACAATCTCAACATTCAGAATGAGAGAAGGACAGCATGACTGTAGTGCGTCTCACTCAGCGTTCGGGCGATGTTGCCTTTTTCGCTTGCCTTCGCAGCACATTTCGAGTGACGTAATCAAGCTAACGCATGATTCTGACTACGATTCCAACTCGGCAGCCTTTCCACTTAGACGCCACCTTATAACTACTAGCTGAACTAAATTTGTCACGTGACTTGCTCTGTACTATCCAGATAATGGCGAAACTCGTCTTTGGGAATGCTTTTACGGGAATCGGTTATTCGTCCTTATATGAGAAGATCTTGAGGTGAGTAAGGGCTCATTCGAAAGAGGAAGGTTCAATGAAGGGGGCTCAACAAATCGTTTTAGTCACAAAACTCTTATAGTTACCTAAAATGTACTTGGATTCAACGGGTGTATTTTCTCAATTTTTTCTCTACTTTGGACACTCATATTATTAGATATCAACACAATCTCGTTAAACCATCGGTTGAGCCCCCTGCATTGGACCTTCCTCTTTCGAATGAGCCCTCACCCAGCCCTAAGTGTTCTCATTTAAGGACAAATAACCGATTCCCGTAAACCCATTAATAGGCCCATTTTTGCCGGTAATGTCACCTCGCTGCATTACCCATGTCTACCCCCTTAAGCCGGGTATCCACCGGTATCAAACGCCTGTATCGTATCACCGTTCCGAACCCTTTTGAATAGGCAGGCATTGCCTCGTTGCATGCCACGGCGTGCTACGGCTCGGACAATAGTTCTTCGTTTCTTGAAAGAAACTCCTATAGGCGAGAAGTTTCGATTTGCTGCATGCTGTTTCTTTATTGTAATTGTCCAAAGCATATCGTGTTTGGTATCATTTTAATTAGAAAAACGTCACAAATATTTTGGTAACAGTTCTATAAGAAAAAATTGAAAAATAACAAAGTTCAGTCGTTGCATTAATATTATCTCACTGATATATCCGATTCCAAATCATATTATCACGTGCCTCAAGTGTCATGTTTCCATTTGACATCGCATTTGGGGCCTTCGCCTGGGTATGTTGTTTTTACGTTTCAAGTGGTCTCTGAACCTACGCTTTGAACAGCAAGAAACCGACAACTTTCGGATCGGCCCGTTCCTTCACCTCCGTATCACAGCCCAATAGAATTTTCGATACTCGGCAACGGAAAAATCTCTGGAAAATTAACATTGTCCTTTTTCAATAATCATATAGGTGATTATTAACATTGCTCTTTTATGTACAGCGTATCACCGAAGATAATTGATCTGTTTAAATATATTTAGACGATAAAATTTATCTACATTAAATTAGATTAAGTTCATAAATAATTTCATCGATTTTGAAATGAATCCAATAATACTACAAGATTTCAAATAAATTGAAACCCAAGTGACGGTACGAAACGTTATGTCAAGTGCAAACGCATGAACCTTTCCTTCGATGGAACGGCAAAGAATCGACAAATTTTTCGGATGGGTCCGTTGCCTCCGTTCCTTTGGAACGGCACGCAGCAAAACGAAACTCCTCGCCTGTAGTGGCCCAGTCCTATTGCCGAACCGTTTCTATCAAGAAACGAAGAAATATTGTCCGAGCCGTAGCACGCCGTGGCATGCAACGAGGCAACGCCTGCCTATTCAAAAGGGTTCGAAACGGTGATACGATACGGGCGTTTGATACCGGTGGATACCCGGCTTTAGGCGTCCGCATTTTTGCCTACATAAGAGTCCGTCGCTATCCCCACCAGTTCTTGGAAACAGAACCTCGGAGTGCATTTCGCGCGTACCGAGTGTTTGTCACCGGTCTTCAATTGTTATGGTAGGAGTCAAAGGCTCATGACACTACATACTGGGTGTTACAATATTTTGCACTACAGTTTTAAGAAAAAACAATGCAGATTAAAAATTGTTTTATTTTCATAAACACATATTACATAATAAACATAAATAAGCAGAATAAATGATAGAGAAAATAAAAATTATTTTGTATTATAGTAATTTATTATTTCTCTTGCTTGATTTGCAATTTCAGGTACTCTAATTGTAATCATTTCCAAATAGTGGAGTAATTTATCAATTTCTTCTTATCTATTGGCACAGGGGAAAATTCTTCTTCCTCTTCTACATCATTTTCTCTTATTGTTTCCGTTTCTCCGCAGTGATTGATCCATTCTGTTACTTCTTCGCCAGAAATTGTTTCATATGCGGCATCGCATGAAGTAGTTGCTGACGACGAAGTGTGAAAATTGGTAAATCTTGTTTCACGGTTACAAATTTTATTCCAGGTATTAAAAATATTTGTTGCTGTGATATTGTTCCAACATCCAGAAACTATATCTATGTCATAATCTTTTTATGTCATAATCTGCGTAGAAATCTGACACTCCACCAGTATATTGCAATACTTGACGTAATAACTTGTGACGAAAATGTTTTTTAAATTTTGCTATTACGCCCTGATCCATCGGTTGGATCAGAGAAGAGGTATTGGGCGGAAGAAACGTTATTTGAAAATACCCATCGTCCATTTCTTCATCTGATAATTTATGCCCTGTCACGTCCTGTGACGCATTCTATATGCATATAAATAAACATAAGTTTCCTTAATTCTGTAATTGATTTCACAATTCAAATCAGTACAACATATGTATTGTTGTTACGAACGCGGATCCGGAGCGGTTCGGACGCACGCGCCGTGGGAAGAGAGTAGGTAATATACTCGTGTTAAATTTTCGTGAATTAATAGGAGGGATATTTGTTTAAGGTGGGTCCGCCGAATCGTCGAAGTAGCCTGGCGGACGAATACACGTCCCTACAGGGTTCCCGATTCGGTAAGGGCGATTGAATGAAATGAAAAGGCTCCAGGATAGGAGGGTATAAATGTTTTATTCTTGTAGATTGAATATAATAGCTAGGATCTCGGCTGGAATCTCGTTGGTTTCTGCTACGTTAACTGATTCTAGTTCTGGTTCTTCGGTTAAATCGATGAGCTGCGGTGAGCGAGGACCCAGGCAAATGGTCGAAGCTTCTGACACGGGTGAATAACACGGTTCGCCCGGATGACTTGACGGACCGGATGGTGGAAATCGCGTCTCTAGCTCCTTTTGGACCAATTGGATCTGGCGTTTGATTATAGTGGCCTAGCTCGTTGCTTAACACCACCTCGACGAGTGGGTCTGCGACTGCGTTTACCCTACAAGACCGTCACGTATTGAATATGTAAAAGAATAAATTGGTGATGCCAATTCATTGTTCTAATTACTCACTTGATTTACCTTCATCGCAGGTAGACTTGAGCTGCCGGTGCGACTTTCTCGAGCGCACTCCAAGCGAAGGGAAGAAACGACGCGACAGGTAGTAACTGGTGCGACTTTCTTGAGCGCACTCAGCTAGAAAGGAAATCCGGCGCGACTTTCTTGAGCGCGACCAGGAAGAGTAGAATAAAGCTGACAGGTGCGGCTTTCTTGAGCGCACTCTTAGAATATAGCAAGGGGCTGGTGCAACTCCTTTGAGAGCACTCAGACTAGAAGAAAGAACAGAGTAAGAATATAGATTGGAAATGTGAATCAAGTTGGCAATGTTACTATGTTAGCAATTGTATGACGTTGGGTCTTGTCGTAGGTTTCCGTAGACGATGGAAAGTAGCAAGAAATAATGATCGCGAATGAATGGAAATAAATAAATACTAAGTAGTAACGTTTCGCGATTCAATCCCGAGTATGACGACGATCGGAAAATAAATATAACAAAGGAGATTCCAAGTAGACTAGGGTAGGAAAATACACAGGATTCAAATATATAAGTGTTTAATAAAATAAATATAAATAAGTATAAAAGCTTACGTATGAACACTGATTTTGAGAACTTTCGTAGAACTAACTTAATCCGTTTGCGAACACTGAATCCTTGTTTGCTCACTTAGTCCTTGTTCGAGCACTTAGTCCTTTCACTGGTTAGTTGTTGCACTGTTGAGAGATCCGGATAGACTGAGGATCTGGGCTCCGGGCCCTGTATTTATGTAGTATAAGATGCTGAGGTTTGACTTCCCATGCATCTATTTTTAGAGGGCTGATTAGCTTTTTGCTGATGCTGGTTCAGCGTTCGTAGAAAAGACTTATCTTTGTTGACTCTGAATTTTTGTTACTTGAGGAGCCTGAGAAAGGTCCCGTGAGAATTTCTGGATGCCTCTCTCAGGGGTACTCCGTTCGCAGTGGTTCTCTTTTATAGTGTTAATTTATGTTTAATTATTTAATGTTATATATATAGGTAGACGACTTAGTTGTTATTAGTATAAGCATATACCATGATGTAATAATTTGTAATAATAAATTGATAATAACAATAATGAAAAATAGTAAGGATTGATATATGTATGTATATAGATATGTAAGTATTGGTAGGTGAATTAGTCAGGTCGATGACTTATCGATGGTAAACAATGTTTTTGTAATGTCGATAGGTTACCATTTGTAGATGGTAATTGGGGATGGCAACTTACCATCGGTCGGTAACTTATCGTCGGTCGGTAACTCATGTTGCACACACGGAAAGTACCATCGGTCGGTAACTTACCATCAGTCGGCAACTTACCATCGGTCGGTAACCCATGTTGCGCACACGGAAAGTACCATCGGTCGGTAACTTACCATCGGTCGGTAACTTAGCATCGGCCGGTAACTTACCATCGGTCGGTAAGGTAGGTCGCGAAAAAATATGTCTCTCTGGGGGGGGGGGGGCTCTTGGATGTAACACCTCCCTCCCCGGGAAAATAAATTTTGGGCTAGTGTCCAAAATTTATTTCTTACAGATTTGCCTGTGTGTAGAAATATTCGACCTACGTTATAACTCACTCCGCACAATAGTTTCTAAGTCTTTGGAGTTTAATGGACGGGGATGAAGATCCGGCGACCTCGGGATCGGGTTCCGGGTCTTCGTTGGCATTTGCTGTTGGTGGTCCCCGTTTCAAGTGGATAAGTAGATGGGTGATGGATGAGAATACTGCGCCTAGCACGTGAAGTCCGCATCCGTACACCGAATGCAGGGTGTATCCGTTGACTATGATGTCAATCGCTGCTTTGATGAGTTTGAATATTAGGAAGATGGCGAGGATGGCTGCGCTTGCAGATCCAAACTCGATGAATCCGTTCCACATCTTGTTGATTGTGGATTTTGTTATCTTCTCCAACGAGTGTTCGTCCAGGAAGTTGGCGAACGAAATCGAGCTGGATGGTGTGCCAGAGAGTGTAACACCGCGTACAATCTCGTTAACTACTGCGGGTTTCTCTGCTGGGAACATTATGTGATCCCTTAATCGTTGCAGTTCCGCTTGTGTGTATATGCCACTGGTGGCCAATGAAGTAGGCGTTAGATATTTCCAGTTCAACTGTGAAATGGGCCTTGTCTTTTGGGGTTCGTCAGTGACCATTACTGACGGGGTCAGTTTAATCCATTGCTCGTCGACCTTGTAGATTGTAGGTAGGAGTGGGTTACACTGACGCTTCGTGCCGAACCTAGTTAAGATTCTTGTTTTAGGAGTTAAGAAGTACGTCTCGTTATTATGTAGCACGGGGAGCTCGTTAAAACAGTCCTTGGTTTTGCGTAACTTGATAACTGCAGGTATGCACTGCAGGATATGAATCACTTCTCCGGCGTTGACGGCTATGTAACCTGGCTTCTTCGTGTAGGCGGCGGCATGCCGTGTAACTGATTTCTTGCAGGTATTCTGCTAAACCGTTTTGAACAGCGGACAGGTGGGAGTGCATCCCACAATAGTTGATGATCCGCCTGACGTTAATTTGGCACTGCATGATCCGGGTATGGTCGTACTCGGACAGCTGGAGCAGTTGTACATAGATGGCTGTGGTTTTGATTTCTGGGCCCGGGGGATGACATTCCTCCAAGTCCAGCAATGACACTGTGGTGTGGTTCATCGTAGGTCCACCGCAGTCGAAGCCTATGAGGGCTTCCGTGGCGTAGAGCACCGTAGATGAAAGGATCAGGATGATGAAAAGATTCATCCTATGAAAGATAACCTTATTTCGCAATTTTACATTTATTTTGGTGAGTTATCTTATCCTTGTTATTAATTCTTAGCTTTAGATTACACGGAGGTAACACCTTTGTTTGGCTCGGATCAAATTCTGGCGGGCGTTTTCCTGAACCTCGTTTAGAGTGTCGAATAAATCGTGTAAGTATTCCACATAGGTGGTTACTTCGCGGTTGTCTATTTCAGGTTCTGAGCAGGGTATTCTCGCTGTTTTTCCGAAAACTAATTCGTGAGGGGTGTAGTTCGTTCCCTCGTGTACGCTAGTGTTATAAGACAGCATGGCAAGATCTAACCATGTGTCCCATTCCTTACCCTTATCGGTTTGTACCTTTAGGTACTCGGTTAACACGTGATGCGATCTTTCAAGTGATCCATTGGACTGCGGCCTATATGCCGACGTCATATATCGTTTTATGTTAAATCTTTTAGCTAAATATTTCATAATCGAAGATATTAAATTGGACCCTTGGTCGGTCAGAATAGCTTTGGGTGCTCCAAAGATGCAAATTAAACGTTTCAAAACCTGATCGGCGATAGAAATTGACGCTACATTTTTCAAAGGTACCGCTATTGAGTACTTAGTTAGTAAATCCTGCATTGTGAGGATGTATGAATGTCCTGAAGACGTAGTGGGGAGAGGTCCCATTATATCAATAGCGACCTTGTCGAAAGCGCGCCCTGGGGTATCCGTTATGGTCATTGGTTGTTTAGTCTTTACGCGTGTCAGTTTCTTTAACTGGCAGACTTTGCAAGATTGAATGTATGTTTGGATTTGAGTTTTCATATTTGGCCAAATGTATTTCTGGCGAATTCTATTCAGAGTTTTCGTTGTTCCTTTGTGACCATTTATTACCGAGTTATGCGTGTCTGCTATTATTTTAGGACGTTCGTCTGTTGGAGGAACTTGGATTAACCCTGAGCAGTAAGTTATCGTAATTCTGTGAAATCTGAACATTTCTCTTAACTTTTTATCAATAAAATGCCAGGATACGTCCCCGAGGGGGTCCGTTTCCCTAATCGAAAAACTGCTGAGGTTGAGCTCATCCAACACCGATCGAATCATCCGTAACCCAGAGAGTGCTTGCGTTACAGTAATGGGTGCCGTTGGCCGTTCTTGTATTGGGATTGATATAATGTATCTCTTATCGCTAGCTTTAACGTGTGGTGTGTCTGGAATGATCTCGGATGGGTCGGGGAGTTGCCCGGACAGTTGCAGCTCCTTGGCCCCTTCGCACGCAGGTGTGCCTTGGTGAGTTAAAAATATGACGAGACTATTCCTCTGAAGTGCTAATGGCTGTTTGGTGCGGATGACCTTGAGAAATTCGAATTGAGGTTCCGCGTCAAATAGCTGTTCCTCCTCACTCTCCGTTACAGAGCTGGGAATTTCTGAAGTGTTGTCCTCCTCGTCCTCCGTTGTTATGACAACATCCGGCGGTGAGGTTGGATCTCCGTTATCGCCCAAGGAGTTTGCATTCTCCCTTGACGTAGATGGACCTGGTATAGGTTCTTCCATGGGTCCTTGGCATCTTCTTCGTTCCTTTTCGGGTGGTCCCTCCTGAATCGGGGGTTCGTCCCGTTTCCGTTTGTTGGGATATTCCAAGGATCTGGGTGATGGTGTAGGAGATCGATCTATGGGGTTGGATGGAATGTCGTCGCATTCCAATATTGGCTGTTCCACATTTTCAACTTCTTCGATCTCGGTCTGTATTTGTGGTGGATCGTTTACTTCGGGAGTATGGTCTGAAGATTCTTCGTTCCGAAGTTGCCATTTCCTTTTGAATTTATCTTTGTATGGCAATGGTGGATCGAATAAAACGTCGTCGTCCGAGGATGACGTATGGATCGGCATTAGTATTGCCGTATCTGGTGGATTGCGTGATAGGGCATCAGCGTTGAGATTCGCCTTCCCTTGTTTATACGCGATTTCATACTCGTATTCCGAAAGTCGTAATTTCCACTTCCATAACCGTGAAGTTGGGTCTTTAATATTGTTCAGCCAAACTAGCGGCTTGTGATCCGTAATGATTTTAAATTTCCTTCCGTATAGGTAAGGTCGGAAATGATTGATACTATAAACGAGGGCTAAGCATTCTTTCTCTATCGTTGAATACTTTTGTTCATGTGGATTTAGAATTCTAGAAGTATATGCGACAGGAAGATCTTTCCCTACGTTTCCTTGACTTAGTATGCCTCCAATTGCATAACCGGACGCATCTGTAGTAAGTATGAATGGCTTAGTGAAATCTGGAAATTGTAGTATCGGAGACTTGCACAACGCGTCTCTCAAGATTTCAAAAGCTTCTTGTTGTTTTTCTTTCCACATAAACGGTTTATCCTTCTTCAGTAGATCTGTTAGCGGCTTCGCTATTTTAGAATAGTTCTTTATGAACCGCCTGTAGTATCCAGTTAAGCCTAGAAATTGCTTAATATTTTTGGAATTTTTGGGTACTGGAAACCGTTGTACCACATCCAGTTTCTTAGGGTCTGGTTTGACTCCATTTTCGCTTAAAATGTGGCCTAAATACGCCACTTCCTTTCTTAAAAACTCACATTTGTCAGGTTGTAACTTGACATTTCCATCTTTCAGACGTTCCATTAGTCGTTTGAATTTGGTCTGGTGTTCCTGGAGAGACGCTGCGTAGATGACGAAGTCGTCCATGTAGATGAAAAGTTCCCAGCCTTGAAGGCCTGAGAGGAGATTGTTCATATGCCGTTGAAATGTGGCGGGCGCGTTTTTCAATCCAAACGGCATCCTTGTGAATTCAAAATGCCCGTAAGGCGTTGAGAAAGCCGTTTTGGGTGCGTCTTGTTCCGCCATTCGTATTTGGTGGAACCCTGATGCTAAATCGAGTACACTGAAATACTTGGCTCCGCCTACTTGGTCTAAAATCTCCGTAATATTGGGTAGCGGGTACGCGTCACCAATCGTTTT